AGATCAGAGGTAACATAATCTGTAGATCAGAGGTAACATAATCTGTATTGTATGTGGAATTTTTATGAGGACTGATGTTTTATTGTGATGTTATTTTAATATGTTATAATTTGTATGTAATAGGTACCCAGGCTCCGCCGATAAGCTTTAAATAGCTTTTTGGAGATCTGATTCATGCACTGTTATCTTGCAGATATGTATTATGATTCATTTGTGTGTGAATAAACTGAATAAACTGAAACTGAAGTGACTGAAAATAGATGCAAAGCAAACGCAAACAAAAGTAAACAGATGAAAATAGAGTCCACGTTCATATTGTGTGACAACAAAGAAACACCAACCAAATATGGATGCAAAGAGTTACAAACTGATGACAAGGGGATGCAAAATAGGAAAGCAAATTATGGGCAATGACTCCAGGAGTGCATTTAAATCAAGAAAATGGATTTGCTTTCACATTTGTGAACAACTGTTTTCTCCTCACGGCTCTGCTCTCTCATAATATGATCGCGTGAGGTTTCTGGTCACGCTCTACTTCAAGTCTGAAAGCCACACCTTTAAAAACATGATCACCCTGCCAAGTGTCAAATCCTCCGAGCATCAGGTTTGTCCAGTTGTAATGTGAACGACCTGATCAGGATCACAACCTAAAGTAAAATGTAGGATGCGCACAACATTCAAAACCATCTAATACGAAGCAGCTCAATAATTATTTGTTCAGTTTGCTTAGCTCCTTTGTGACGTTTCCTGCAGATGCGTTCTTCTCCATCAGTCTCGCCCTGATGGTGGCCAGTCTTCTGGAGACGGTTTTCATCACCAACATCCAGTTCAGCTCCGGTCGGTTCAGTGCGGTGCCTCACTGGCTCAGTGTCCTGGTGCTCCGTTATCTGGCTGTGGTCGTGTGTATGCGTCCTAAGGAGAAGAGTAACCAAGAGACAGCCTTCCACAATCCATACTTTAAAGGTATACTGACCCCCCCCACAACACGTGCTGTGTTTCAGTCAGCTGCAGAGAATGAGTGTGCAATCTGAACCAAATTACTCATGATGGATTAAATCTGTGCTCTAATAGACTAAACGTGTTTTATTATATCCAAAAATAAGAAATCTGGTAAAGGCCAAATAAATAAAAGGAAAAATGCACATACTGGATGTGTTGATTATAACCATCAATCTGCCTCTAATGTTTCTTTCCAGTTTAATTTGTATGTTGTTCAGCTTTTGTAATCCAGTATTCATCCCTAAAGGCCAGATTATGTCTTCTATCACAACTTCATGAAATTGTAAAACTATTTTCCCATTTTTGATAGCTTCAACAACAAATACCACCTCCAAGACCATCTCAGGTGAGCCGACGGTTTTGAGTGATGCAACTCCAGCAGAGGCTCCTCTCCGGCCTGCAGCTCTCCCGGAGCTGACCCTGGATGAGCTGAAGCAACTGAGCAGAGATCTCCAGGCGATCCGTCTACAGATGGACAAATACTTCCAGAGCTCCAAAGACTCCGAGGAATGGGAAATGATCGGGATAATAATCGACCGCTTCCTGTTCGGTTTGTACATCCTCTTCATCGTCGTGAGCTTCCTCACCATCACGGGGATTTGGATCTGGAATAACACATTTGCTGCATGATTTAACAGGACTGTCATCTTTGTGCTCAAATCCCTCATTTTGTTTATATAGAGCTGATCCGCAAGAGATCTTGTTTTAATTGCGGTTACATAAAGTATTTTTTAATTCAATTAAATTGATTAGAATTCCATTAGTTCAAAAAGTAAGACATTAAATTTGTAAAAAATAAAAAAAAATCAATTTCTGCATATTAAAAAATGTAATAACTTAGATTATATAAAATAGAGATTTAAATAGAAATGTTTCCGATGTTTTTGTTTTCCGTAACAACAAAAGGCCTCACTGTCAGAACCATTCATGCAGATTTAAACACTGCTGGTTTCCAACTAAAATCCATTCGATAACAATAAAATGAGGCAAACATGAAAATGTGACATGACAGTGAATAAGTGCAAGTGTCATGCGCATTCTCATGCAGCGTGAATTAATACAAGCGTTTATTACAGTAAAAAACAGCTTTACTGTTCATTTCTGCTTTACTTTTCATGACATAAAGATGGAATAGATGAGGAATAGAAAATAAACTACACATCCTCTGTTTAAATTCTTTATAATGGTTAATGAAATACAAAAATGAAGCCATCGTTTTCAAAAGCGTGTTAAACTCAAGGCCCGGGGGACAAATGTTGTCCTCGTTGACATCTTATCTGGCCCCTAAAAGGACATTTTAAACGAAAAATACTTCTATTTTTTTCATTAATCTTCGATTATGTCAAAAGTGCATCTGAGAACGTCCAATGAGACCAATCAAACTCTTGTTGAGGAACCTGCAACCAAGAAAAGATGTTTGGTATCTGTGGAGTCTGAAACTGGTTCTTAGTTTGAAAAAGGATTTTAATTTTGGCCCCATTTTGTGAGTTTGACACCCCTGACAAGAGTTGTCAACATAATTAGGATTACTAATTCATCCTATTTGCACCGTTATATTCTATTCTATTGTTGTTTACTCTTTATTTTTCACTTTTTGCTACTTTATTTTGTACCGTTATTGTGTGCTTTAGTATTTCTTGTTTGTGTTTTGAGCAAGTTGAATCAGTTCTGCTCATCCTGAACATTTCATTGGACTGTTGATCTTGTGTTAACCTGCATGACAAATTAACAAACATAACAGAAGAACATCTGCGTTGTGTGAACGTGTTGGTGCATCGGGACATTTAATGAGGTTTTGGATGTAACTTTATTGCCTGAGGAAAGAAGCACTTTGTATTCAGTTTTAAACAAATAGTCCCCAGTTGAATTTGTCCAGATGAGTCAAGTTTTGGAGCGGAGTTTCAATCGAAACAAAAACACACAGAACTAAATAAGAACTGGCATTTTCTTTTTTTGCACCATGTAATCATTTACCATTAACCATAGACAAAAACTATTTTTTGTGATGCTTTAAAAAAATGTTTGTCACTGAATTTATGTAGCAAAAACGGCGTTACATAAATATTGTAATATTTTATCAGAATGCATGTTTATAATGGATTTCTCATTTGTCTAAACTGTTTAGTAAAACTGCTAAATTTATTAAAAATCGCTACACATTTTTGCCACTAGATGGCAGAACTGTACACAAAATGCTTTTCTATGGGGAAATAGTCCTTTCCTGTAAAACAACTATTATTAAATAGTTAAATTTTATATTGAGGCTTTTTTCCAGTTTATTATCGGATGAATAAAAAGATTGAAGCATAACTCAATTATTTAACAGTCTTGCCAGTCATTTATTGTCAACATAATTATTACATAGTCAGAGCAAATTAAGATATAACAAAAATTAACATTTTTAATAATAAACATTCTGTAGTGCACTTCAAACTTGATCTCTCCTCCTAATTAAAGGCAGTTTGAAAAAAAAAGCTGTTTTTTTTTTTTTTAATGAGCTGGATGGGTTTTAGTTCAGGATCTTTAAGCTAAAGACAGCCATGGTTAATATTCATCCCATAACAATTCATGTATAGCAGTAATAATATTCATTACAGACGCATCGTGGAGCTTGTGGTTAATACATGAAGTTTGTAACAATTTAATCAATCAGTGATTTATCTAGTTTCATCCACAACTTTTTTTTTAATACAACAAAAAAGCTGATTAGACATTTGTTGGTCAACCTCAATATTATCCAAAATAAACTTTTCACAATGACAAATAAGCTGCAGCAGGTAAAATACTAATCTAAACTGGTCCAGTAGTAACCACACAAAACCAATCTGAATGCTCAAGAGGACTGAAAGTGCAAGAAAAGGAAATGTATGTTTAGGCACACGTTGCTGTATTTCCCCGGACAAATGAACCCTCACATCCTCCTTCTAAGTACCATGCAGAGGGGTGGTGACAATATTTAAAATGTCCAGCTCTGATTTCAAGTCATTAGCAGAAAGTCTGTGGAAAACTGAAAGTTGAATGAGTGAATCTGCTGGTGGAAACAAAACAAATACAGATTCCAAGAAGTGTCGACTTCAGCTGCATTAATGGAAAGAAACCCCTCTCAATGCTGCATAACACAATGACAGAAGCATCTTTACAGAAACAATACATTTCAAGGTGAAAGGTCAAAGTTCATGTTCTTAAAACGAACATTTAAAAAGGACGACATCAGAGATCCACTCGCACTTCAACCAGCACACACAAGATCAGTGCAACGAAACAGAAACCGTTAGTTCAGAACATATAAATCAGCTTGGAGCTGCGAGGACAGCAGGTACACAGGAGCATGCACGCACACACGTGCACGCACTCTAAGCAGCACAAAATGGAGTGCTTGCAGTTTCATTTCAAATACTTGCAACATCGATTCTGAAGCCTCTTCCTGAAATCCAGTCCTGCAAACTCAGTATTTCTCTGACCCTCCGAAACTTCCCCCACCGTTTGTTCATTGGTCACAAAGGCACAGAAATGGGTCTAAAATAGCTTCAAAGGAAACACAAGTAGCAAAAGAAGAAGTCCAGGTAATACCTTCTGAATGTTCAAACTAAAATATATTTGGCAGGATTAATCAAACGCAAAATCAGTCAAACCCTGAAAGAACGTTTAGGCTTTCAGTGTCGTTCTTTTTATAAACAATACCCGGAAACTACCTTCAACTAAACGCTAAAATCATTCAGACTCTGTAGCTGCTGTGGCAACGGAGGCATCAAACGATCACAACTGCCTGAGCAAATGTTCTTTTTTTTTTTTTTTTTTGACGGACGAGTTCAGCGCAAGTGCTGATGAGTTCATGGACGTCTTTGGCTCTTGTTAAATTGCAAAAAGGGTTGCATCAAAAAACTGTGCAAGGCAGCATGTTTTACCGTTCACACATTATCAAAGAGAGCAGAGCAGGAAATGTCATAAAGGAATGATGTAACACTGCTGAAGTTAGGGGGAAAGTTAGTTAAAGATTGTTAGTTTTAAACCTAATCTTTAAATTAGCTTCTTTTTTTTTGTATGGGATCAAATGGGAGTCGTAAGAATCTGTACAAAAAAAAAACTCGATTAAATGATCAATAACATGTTAGTGCATAACTCCTTTATATTAAAAATACAGTTATGTTTTAGAAAAGTTACAAACTAAGGACGTAAATAAACCTGACTTTTGTGTGATACTCCGTTCATGAGTCAGGCAGGACGCATTTTCAACCTAAAGTGCACGTTTTAAAAAGAGCTTGAAGAAAACCAAGCTGGAGCCACATTTCTGTGAAGCGATGCAGTACAACATCTGGAAACCTGGTTAAAAGCAGCTGTTTGCAGTGGACGCCATCAGCCGGGGGGCAAGAAGTACAATCGTTGTCGTGTTGTGTTGTGCTGCTCCTCTTTCCTGAGGTTGCCATGTCGGCGGCGTTAGTCCCCACCCCCCTCGTCCTCCTGTTCCTCCATGTTTTTCCGTGCCATCCTCTCTCTGCGTTCCGCCAGCCGCCGACATCGAGGGCAGTCTTTACCCGGCCGGAAGCAGCTGCGATGGTAGCACGCGTGACACTCTGAGGAGGGGAAAAATAAAAAATAAAAATAAACATTTTATGACAAACTATGAGTGTTTATCAGAGGCGAAGTGTTCCAGTTGGCAAGCCATAACGTGACAGCAGTAAACCTGTTTTATCAGTTTGCAGACGAGGAGGCGTGTTGCTCGAGCAGAGCAGCCAATCATGAGGAGACCTGAGGCAGGACGGGGAAAGAGAAGTATAAAAGGCTGAGAGATGACACCCAGGACGCAGGTGGAGGAGAGCAGATCATATCTGAGGCTGAAAGCGCAACGGAAATGTGTCCAGACCCGTCCTATTTACCCTCAACACACCAAGAGCTTCAGCCTCTGCACTATTTAAAATGCATCTTTTTACTAATTCTTTAACAAATGATGAAGATGGATTGATGAAATGAAAGGCAAATTAAAAGCAATTTTTAAAAAATGTGTTTATTTCATGTTCAAATGAAGATGAATCTTGGATTTTTTTTTTAAAAAGATGTAAAAACAACTACAAGGCAAAAAATGACAATCTCACAAATCTCTACATGACATTCGTCCTTCAACAACAAGAACAAATACAATCAAAATGAAACTAAAATTTTACAACTACTCGTTGAACTCCGAGACAAGCAGCCCTTGGAAACACCTCCAGCAGCTCAGGCGCAACAAGAAATGACTGGAAAACTAAATCCAAACTGAAATTCACGACCGACGCAAACTGAAAAAGGTAAACATTTACAGATGATGCTCCTCTTCATCATTTAGCAGCAGATTCTCTCTGGTGACATGCAGCAGCAGCCAACAAGGAAGTTGCATCACCGTCAGAACCAAAACCAAGACAAGAACCACCGAAAAATATCACGCCACCACCGGCTGTGCAACACAAACCAACACCGAAGGACTTCAAGGAGTTAGAAAGAAGTATCTCACTACAAAGTGATCGAGATGCGATGGAAAAAAGGACTAAAAGCCATTTTGAAGACCCCAACCCTAAAGCTTTAATTGCAGTTTGAATACTTTTATGTTTGTGTGGATGAATACATTAAAAGACAAAGCTTTGATTAGGACGTTTTAAATAGTAGGAAGGCTTATTTTCCAGCAGAGAGCCCGTTTCCCAGTTTGTGCTCAGCAGATCTACTGCAGATTTACATTCAAGAGTCAAAACAAGAGTGGAAAATATTAAAGTTATCTGTAAAAAGAAAACTATTTTTTAAATGTTACAAACAAATGGAACATAAAACAGAGTTAAAAATTCTTATGGGTTTACTAATATACTTGTAAATCTCCAATCAGGACTAAAATATGCACAAAAAAAATGTTTTAAAAATGGGAAAGCTTGAAGGAAAGACATCTTTTGTACATTAACGGAGCATATTCTGAAATATAATTTAAAATGTGCTGTTGGAGAAACGTTTTTCTTGCTCTTTATAGAGGCTTTATGTGTTTTCCTCCTGGTCCCCAGCTCCCTCAGTACAATCATTTCTGCCATCATTTTCTCCGTCTCCCCCTCTTCTCTCCCTAACCTTCCTGCCTCGGCTTTCTCTCCGGGCTTTGCGGGTTTTATTCTTTCTCCAGTTAGGCCGTGCTGCACCTACTGGATCCACTTGACCCTCCTCAGTTTTCATCTCATTGTTCCCGTCGTTGTCACTGCTCTGTCCGTCCTTCTCTCCCCTGCTCCTCTCCTTGGAGAACACGGCCTCCAGCTGATGAGGCGTTGATAATTTCACGGCTGTAAATTGTTCAGGTTTTAACGTTTCACCGTCAGCCTCCGACTGAGCTTTCTGTTCCTCCTCTGTCCTCCCCTCTTTCTCCGATGACCTTTTTATAAATTCTTCATTTGCAGATTCCTCTTTCGGTTCCGTTTCATCTTCATCTTCCTTTTCTAGTTTAGAGAACCCCCTGACTCGACTCGCTAATGCCAACACCATCCTACGTCCACTCCCCTCTTGCCCTACTTTGTCTAAACTCTCACGGCTGCTGCAGGTGTCATCGTCACTCCTTAGGTCGTGTTTTACGACGTTTTTCTTAAATCTGCCTCTTTTCAGAACCATTAATAAATTGAAATTGTCCTTTTTTGGATGTTTATCTCCACTTTCCCTGTGATTATTCTTTTCCTTGCTGTGCGCATGCGGATCCTCTCCTCCCTCTTCTGGTTGCACCCTCTCCTCCCTCTGTGACTCTGAGATCCCCGACATCTCTTGTTCGTCCTCGTTAACTATAATCCAAGGAACTGCATTATTAGCTTTCCCTGCAGTTTGACACACTCCCCCTTTATCTAAGCTCAGATCATCGGAGTCTCTCAACTCTTCCTCCCACGTTCCATCCTCCTGATCTGATCCGAGCTGTATGTCCTCCTCCCCACCCTCCCCTTCCTCCCTGCCTCTTTGGAGGATCTTTGCCAGCCTACGAGGGTTGGAGATCTTCCAGTTTTTCCAGTTAAGTGGAAAGGAAATGTGAGCGAAGGGGGCTCTTGTTGAGGGCTCACCTTCGCAGCGCTGGCACTTGCTCAGCTGGAAGGGGAAGATGATGTCTTTGTCGTTGCCGCAGAACTCGCACACAAAGCCCTTCGCTTGGCACAGCTGGAAAGGAAAAAAATATTTGCAAAGTTTCAGGGATGAAGCCCACTGGATTCTGTGTTTAATTAGAACAATAAGTCACTGCAAAGGAACTGCAAAGAACCACGGCGGTTATCTTACCACACATTTAGCCACGTGTACGGTGCCCAGCTTGAGCAGCTCTTTCATTCGGGACGCCAGTTCTCCGTTGCGCACGGCAGTGAGGTCGTTGAGAGAGAAGAGGTGGAGGTCCTCGGTCAAGTGGCCTGGCAGGCTGTCGAACTGGTCGAGCACCCTGAAGGACAAAATAAAGAAAACTAATGACGACCTAATCGCGACAGTATTTTGTTTTAGATGAAGACAAAATATGAGCTCACTCTTTGGAGAAGCGACAGGTCTTGAAGAGATTTTTCATGTGGAACAGCTGCTCCCTCAAAACCTAAACAACAAATTGAAAACAAACATTCTTATTATATCAGTGACAACAAAAAAAAAAAAAACACACACACACAAAGAGAAGCAAATGAAGATATTTTCTGACGTTTATGCATTTCAAGTGGGGGACATTGGAATGACATCTAGTGACACACCGTATTTTTCGCCCTATAAGTCACAGTTTTCTGCATCAATTACATGCCCTGCGACTTATAGTCCGAAGCGACATATCTATGGATTTTTTCCCCCATATTTATAAATCATTTTTGGGCTGAGAAATTACCGTTTTCATTCATTCTGACTGGAAAAAAATTTAACACTACCATTTTCAGCCGCTAGATGGCACTCAAGTGTATGGAATGCTGTTGGATCATGTAATAATAATAATAATAATAATGTCATCACAATGTCAGCACTGTATGTTTCCATACAATGGCGAAATTAGTCTCTGCATTTAACCCATCCACCACCAGGTGGTGCAGTGGGCAGCTATTGAAAGCGCCCGGGGGACATTTTGGGGATGAGACGTGCTGCCCAGAGACGCCACGTGATGTGCAGTGACTGGGGATCGAACCTGGGACTTTCGGGTCCCAAGCCGGCTGCCCTGCCTCTACACCATCTCGGCCCCCGTGGATATGATGAAAAATTCAAAAAAGTTCAAGACAAAAACAACTGGATTTTATTTATTATAATTTACTTTATACTTTATTGTTTTTTTCTTGAAGTTTTTTGAAATTACCATGTCCTGGTTGACTGAGAATCTTCTCCAGTTATTAATGACACAACTGGCTTGTCATAATCTGCCACCTTCGTTCTTCTCGCTGCTTGGAGCTACCATCAAATCAGCTTCATTTCGCTGCCCCGGTGAAATGCAGCTAATTTGACCATTAAAGTGCATTTATTAAGTAAAAGTTCAACTGAGACACACCTTTTACTATAATTTTGAGCAAACAAATAATTGTTTTTAAGTGTTAATCTTGTTAAATTCTTGTTAAAGTCCTCCCGTGCACGCTCCCGTAGCCGCCATTTGGCAGCCAAATCAATTTTGGGCACAACGCCAGCCCACATTTCCAGGTTGTCAGCAGTGACATGTAACAAACACCACGCATCAGCAGTGACGCATAATAGATGCGACTTATATGGCAAAGCAATTTATTTATGGATTTTTCCACTTTATTAGACATATTTGGACTGATGCGACTTATAGGGTGGAGAGACGTGTACGGCGGAAAATACGGTACTGTACGTTGTAAATTGTATCAAAACACTCACCAACGCCCATGAAACAAAAATGCAGTAAAGCCAGTTTCATGTACTCTTTGTTGGTTACATGGCAGAGGATCAAAAGAAGCAAATATATTCAGATGTAAAAACAAATTGTTCATTTTTGATGTGGTCCACGCAGGACAGTCTCAGAGAAGATCAAAACAGAGCAAGTACAGAAACACAAAACTGTCTTTCAGTATGGATACAAGCCACTACAATTTTAAAAAGTACTTTCAGCATTGTCAGATAAACTGTCTACATGACAAATACATTTTATTGCTTGCTGGAGGTTGCCTCAACCGTTTTATATTCTTCACATACAGCCTGCTCTATTGGGTAAAGTTAATTGCAGTTCGTCAATGTTTGCAAAGTTGATATTCCTCAAAGCCGTGAGTCGAACTGGTCTCAAAGCATCAGGCAAAGAAAACTAAGTAAAGCATTTAACAAACGGATAAGATCCCTGCTGAGTCAGTAAAAGTGCTACAATTATTTGAAAGCAGACTGAAATCGCAGCACAAGGGAGGACTTTAGGCTAAAAATTCAGCCTCTCTGCCAGCTGACTGAGGCCAACAGGCCCAGCAAGTTGTTGCAACTCCTCTTTAGCAATAACTCTGTTATATTTGGACCTACAGTCATGAAAACATTTGCTGCCGCAGCCTCAAAGCTCACCCTGACGGACTCCAGGGCCTTGATCTTCTTGTACAAGCAGTTGTTGATGTCGCTGGGGTTGAAAAGCGGATCTCCAGCGATCTTGCTCAGCAGGTCCCGGGCAAAGTTGCTGACATAGTACTTGCTGAAGTCCCACTTTCTGAGCACTCGGCCGGGAACAACCGCCTGGGCGTTTTCATGGCAACACTGGCAGAAGTACCGGCCGAGGTACTCGCAGTAACGCAGCCGCTTGATGTAGTCTGAGGAAAGAGCAGAAGCAGGTGGGGGGGAAGATGAGAAAAACTTAAACTGTATCTGAATTTAAAAATATGAATAAAACAATTAAGCAACTTATGATGGCATTTAAATCCACTGAGGGAATATTTAAGACTACACAGGGCTGAAAACATTTCTAAATTCAAGTGTCTTACAGCTGCAAGAGCCAAGTATAAAAATATTCAGAAACAGGAACTGAAACTGCACAAACTGTTTTCAGTGTTTGACGTTGGTTAAATAACGCTGCATTTTCAAATGTTTGTTAAAGATTTCAAGAATATCTTTTTTCCGCCGGTTCTACAGATACCTGGGTCAATGCGAATGCCACAACCAGCACAGCGGTAGTTCTGCTTAGTGACAATCATCTTCCTCCTGAAAAGAAAACCAACGTTTTATCACACAAAAAAAACAAAAACAGTGTTTTAATGTTTAATAACAGAAAAGTGACTTTATGTGAACAGGCAAAAAAGTCTCAGAGAATCTTTTCTAAGTGTTGATCAAAAAAGCTTTCTGAAAAAAGAAACGATATACAAAAATCTGGAATAACTTCACTGTAAAACATTTAAAGACTTAAAATTATGAAAAACAAATGTTTCTTGGCGTTTTAATGTGTGTACTGTTGATAAATGCATATTATAAAACAACAAATAGCTATTTTCTTGACCGATTGTGCCTTTTTAGAAACCATCTCTTGAAATCCAGAAGTAATTTGGTGCCAAATCAAATCAAGTCCTGACAAGCTTTGAAGCAAAAATGTAGAAACTTAATACATTTTTCCCTTACAACCAAAAGGAGGGGTGGAGTTATCAAAATATGCAGCTTCTTGAGACTTTATTTACGTTTTAATAAAAATGATGCAATGCACATGAGCAGCAGAAAAAACATGTATAAGAATTTTTTTTAAATAAGGGAAAACAAACAGTGAGGACAGATAAAAACATATTTTCCTCTCACTTTGGGGCAGGATGAATGTTGAAGATGATCTGTGGGCGAGGCGGCGCCCACTCGAGGTTGCCTCGGACTCGAATCCTCAACTTGTAGATGTCCGCGTGTTCCCCGTCATCGGGGGAGATTGGCAGAGAATCGGGAATGGGAAGCAGCTGCGGGACAACAATAATAAACATTACATCTGATTTACTGCTGCGTGATGCAAGTTTTATC